AGCACTTGTCCGTCCAGGAAACGACCTCGTCCTGCGAAGGATTCGAAGTCTAAAACGCTGCGTGGAGGCGTGTGGCTGCAAAATAACGACCCCTAGATATGCGGTTTGGCAAAATGCCCCGCAGCTGCCTGTGTTTCTGCAAGGCGAGCCCCCTCAAAGGAAACCCTGGCTGGCTTTTTGGCTCCTGGCTGGCTTTTGGCTGGCTTCTGGCTGGGTTTTGGCTGGGTTTTGGCTGGGTTTGGTTGGCTCCTGGCTGGCTTCTGGCTGGCTTTGGTTGGCTCCTGGCTGGCTTTCTGGCTGGCTTTCTGGTTGGCTTCTGGCTGGTTTGGCTGGCTTCTGGCTTTCTGGCTGCTTGTGGCTTTCTGGTTGGCTTCTGGCTGGTTTGGCTGGCTTCTGGCTGGCTTTCTGGCTGGCTTTCTGGTTGGCTTCTGGCTGGCTTCTGGCTGGTTTGGCTGGCTTCCGGCTGGCTTCTGGCTGGCTTCTGGCTGGCTTCTGGCTGGCTTTCTGGCTGGCTTTCTTTTTTTCCCTGTTTTTTTAGCTCGCCTTGCAGAAACGCAGCTGCGGGGCATTTTGCAAGCATATCTAGGGGTCGTTATTTTGCAGCCACACGCCTCCACGCAGCGTTTTAGACACGCAGCGTTTTAGACTTCAAATCCTTCGCAGGACGAGGTCGTTTCCTGGACGGACGAGTGCTAGGAGCCTCTCAGGTAGAATAGAATCCATTTGGGAAACCCCCTCTAAAGAGAGAGGCGCCGCTGCCCCAAGTGTGCCCCTGCCCCAAAGTGTGGCCCTGCCCAAAGTGTGCCCCTAAGGCAAGGGCACACTTGGGGCAGGGGCCTTGGAAGCAGGGGCACACTTGGGCAGGGGCGCACTTGGGCCAGGGGCACACTTGGGGCAGAGGCACACGCCAGGCACACTTGAGGCAGGGGCACGCTTGGCACACTTGGGGCAGGCACAATTTTTGGGGTAAGGGAAGGCACACGGGTGGGGCAGGCACAATTTGGGGCAGGGGCACACCTAGTAGCTAACACCTGGGGCAGAAGTGTGCCCCTGCACCCCAAGTGGGAAGTAAAGCCCCTGTCTCGAGGAACCCTGCCCAGTGTGCTCCCTGCTCCAAAGTGTAGCCCTGCCCTGGCCCCAAATGTGCCTCAGTGTTGGCGCCCCTGCCCAACTGCCCCTTTCCCAGCTTCTCCCTGTCTTCAGCCCTGCTCCCAAGCCAGGCCCTTGGGGCAAGGCTTACACCTGGGGCACTTACACTTGGGGCAGGGGCACACTTACACTTGAGGCAGGGGCACACTTGGGGCAGGGGCACACTTGGGGCAGGGCAGGGGCACACTTGGGGCAGGGGCACGCTTGGGGCAGGGGCACACTTGGGGCAGGGGGAACACTTGGGGCACACTTGGGGCAGGGGCTAGTGCCCCCTGCCCCAAGTGCGCGGGTGGCAGGGTTGAGAACCGGCGAGTGCATGGCTGCCCTTCACATGGCTGAACTGGACGCTGGCCAAGAGGCCCCAAAAACAAAGCGAAGTCCGTGGCTGCGCCTCAGAGGGCTGGCCTTTGGCCAAGTGGACCCCTTCCAGGAACTGTGTGTGAAAAAATCTGGGGGGGCCCTAGTGGTGGAGCCGAAGTCAGCCTCCTTCAAGACCTTGTGACGAGCCCCATGCATCCAGGGGGCAGAGGAGCTGGGAAACATTGCGCTTGCGGTGGTTTCGGATTTGACGGATCAGCGCCCGCCATGCGAAATGTGTAAACACATTTTTGCTTGTAGCCTGGCCCAAGAAGCGCTCAGAAGCAGCGCTGCCGACGTCCACACACACAACGCAAAGTCGCGCTTTCAAATCCACATCATATCACAAACTAGCCACGAGGGAAACACTGCGCAGCCATGGGCGTGGAGACGACGAAGGGCAGGAGGAGCCGAGGCTGGTCAGCTTCAACTCGTGCTTGTTAGGACTCGTTGTCGTCAGGTGTTCGCTCCCGCATTCTCCTGACTGCAATCTCGTGGCCTTTCTTGCACCGGCCAAGACCTCGGCAGCATTGTTCCAGTGCCTTTGTTTGCTGGTTGTGGCCCCAGGTACATCTCTTCACCATCCCTCACGGGCGGATTTCACCGACCAGGCTGGAAGGACACTAGATTCCTGGCATCTTGGCTGTGTTTCGTGTGGTGCCGCCAGGATTCTCGCGGGCCACAGGTCCAGATCTCGGTGTCGCTGTGATGTTTTTCTGCCTGGGTTTTCAGCTCTTGAGGTGACACGGCGTGGCGGAGTTGCTTCGCGCGCCAGCCCGCAGCAGGACGCTCCTCCAATCAGCAGTTGTACATTTGGCCGGTGGACAGCGACGCGGAGGAAGGGGGCTTGCGCGCGCCAGGCTCGTTGTTGGTGGGTTCGGGCAGGACTGGCTCGCCAAGAGCCGCAAGGAGGTGGAGGCTTTTGGCAAGGACAAGGTGTCAAAATGGGCCGAAGCGGTGCTGAAAGAGGGCAAGGTGAGAGATGAGCTGATCCAGCAGACGGTGACCACACTGCAGCAGCAAGGAGTCACCGGCCGGTCCCTGCTGGAGCTGACACCGGAGGAGCTGATGACATGTAGCGTCCGTCTTGGACCAGCGAAGCTGCTGGCCGAGAAGATCCGGCTGTTGCAGGAGGCTGCCCTGATCAACACCCACAGAACCAGGAAATCCCAAGATTACATTTGTGCAGATTGCAGCGCTTCCTGTCGTTGGCAGACTTGATATGGACCCCCCATGAACGGATGGTTGCCTTTCCTTGTTGGAGGTCGGTCATTCCTGCTGGTCGACATTGATTGAGACGTGCCGTTGATCGTTGTGAGTGATTTTGTGCTTGCCCCCAGCCTGCTTTTGAAAGAGCAAGGCCTGCCCGTCTGCCGGGGAGAGGGAGGGCAAACTCTGATGTCTCTCTTTGATTTCCATCCACGTGTTCTTGCTCGATGTTTTGCCGGTTTTGCTGCCATTCCATCCCCTTGTTGTTCAATTTTCTCCGTACCTGTTCATATCTGCCTGATTTGGTGTGAGTGGTTAGTGGGCGCAAAACTATCAAACAGTCGAGGGGAACCCGCAAATCTTGAAGAGCCTGCTGTTCCAGTCGCCTGCCTGTTGAAGAGCAAGACCTACCCTTCTGGTCGTTGCTGCTGCAGACACAACGCAATCCGAAGGTAAAAAACATGTTCCGACAGCACGAGCATGGAGGAGATTGCTAAAGTGTGCACAATGTATTTCTGCTGCCGGCTGACGTTGAGACGTGCCGTTTGGCGTTTTGTGTGGTTTTGATTTCCCCCTCGGAAATGCTTTCAGTGGGGCTGCCCTGATCACATCCACAGAACCTGAACATATTTGACGCCACTCTCCCCCCTCATCAACCTTGTCGGGGTTCCTGGGAACTCAGTGGCTTTGCTCAGCGTGGAGCCCCACAAAAGGATTGTTGAGCTGAACCACGCATCTCCCGCTTTGCTTTCATGGGCAGTGTTCCTGCTGGAAAATTTGGTTTTGTTTCGGTTTTGGTACCCTGTTGTTCCTTGCTTTCCTGGTGCTCGGCTTTCGCACTAAGTACCCATGCTTCTTTGTGATCTGTTTTGAATGGTTAGCGTTTTGCAAAAACATGGACCAGTGGGAAGGAACCTGCTAGCGATCTTGCTAGCGATCGATTTTCTCACCAATTGCCGATGCGTGTTTGGTTTGTTGTGATTGTTTGTTCTTGCCAGCATTCCCTCATGCGCCTCCCGCGCAGGTTGAGCTCCCTCGTTTTAGCGCCCCCTACTTCAATCAGCCAGAAGTGGCTTTGGCGTTGGTTCTTTGCTCGGCGGTTCGATGGCCTGCAGAAGGCCACCAGCTTGTGCCCGGAACCTCACTGAGGTGGTCAGACATCTTCAGGGCCGGAGCAGCATTTCCAAACAACAAGTCCGTACTGGTTCCACGGCTGTGGTGGTGTGAGGATACCAATATCAAAGAAGCTATCCGAAACGATTTGAAAGAGCTGAACATTGACCTGGAGGGGCTCCTGCCAGATTCCTTGCAGTTGGCCACTGAAAGGGGGGAGAAGTGGGAAGAGCTGGTTGCAAATTCCCTGGCAGCGCGGTTCCGCCTTCACTGTATAGCAAGAAACCTGAGTGCTGAAGTCACCTGGGTCCCTTTTTTGGAGATCTACCCTACGGAGGATCCACATTTGCGAGCTGTTTTGGAGCCGTTCGAAGTTTGCTGGAGTGATGGTGTGGAATATCCAAGCGGCCAAGGCAATGAAGCAACTGTCATGAGTGACGTTGGGAAGGCAATCAAGTCCAACCGAAATTTTGCAACGGCTCACCACGACCTTTTGATTCCTGTGAGATGCAAGGCAACTGGTAAGCTCGAGTTCATTGCTGCGCAATGTTGTTATGGAGAGAAAAAGGATGCAGGCGGCCTGAAGTTGCAGGACAAGGCGAAGAAGGGCAACTTTGAGGACATGCAAAATGTGTTGCTGCAGATTTGCAGTGAGTCTGAAGGCTGGCAGTCCTTTACAAACAAGACATGGGCCAGACGTCAGGAGGAGAAGAAATACTCTCTCATGAGTTGCGAGACTATCATTGCGCAGCTGGACGTGCTGAAGCTTTTGTGAGTGTCCAAAAATCGCGCTAGCAGGTGGGAGCAGGGCGGACTTAAGGTCACAAGAGGCTTCACATGTTCCATGGGTGTCAGGCTTGCATCAACAAACTGAATGGCCGTTTTGGGCGGGGTCCAGGGATCGCTCTAAGGTCGAGTTCTCTCCACAAGCTAAGGCATGTTGCTTCCGTCAAGTCTGGGAAAGAAAAGGAGCACCATTGTTGTTGCGCTGGTGTAAGGGGCTTTCAAGATAGGAGCGACGCGGGTAGAATCCTCCAAGCAATTTTCTGCTCGTACCCTGATAGCCCCCAAATTCCTATGCTGCGCCTGGCAGGTGTTTGGCGCCCAGCGTTCATTTTGCTTTGGAACCCACTCGCCCACTTCTGTTCTGGTTCTTTATGCAGTTGCTTCTTTGAATCCATGCACCGCCGTGCGTTCAAAAGAGTTTAAAATACTTGTAACCACCGCAGAACCGTAGTGCGTAGAACTATCGGAGTTGTTCACCTATTCTGCTCAATTTCAGAAAGGAGTTTTTTTTCTTCTTTTTTTTTCCGCTTTTGGCTTCTTGGCTTCTTGGCTTCTTGGCTTCTTGGGTTTTTGGCTTCTTGGCTTCTTGGCTTCTTGGCTTCTTGGCTTTTCGGCTTCTTGACTTCTCGGCTTCTTGGCTTCTTGGCTTTTCGGCTTCTTGGCTTCTCGGCTTCTGGGCTTCTTGGCTTCTTGGCTTCTTGGCTTCGATTGTTTGCAGAGTAATTGCACCCCTGTTTGAATCAACTTCTTCAACATCATGGGGGGGGCGTGCCGCCTCCCCCCCGTTACTTTTTAGATTTCTTGCAGAGATTGACTTGCACCCCTGATTGAATCATCACTTTTTCAAGCGTCCAATTTCGCGAGAAAATGCGGCAACATACGACATTTTGGGTAATCTGTGTAATCCATGTATGTCTGTATGTATGCATTTCTTCGAACATCATAGGGGAAACCACCCCCGCCAACCCTCCCGCTGCCTTTTAAATTCTATCACACCCTTTCTTGAATCATTGCACCCCTACTTGAATCATCACTTCTTCCGACATCATGGGGGGGGCTGCCGCCCCCCCCAACCCCCCCGCTACGTTTTAGATTTTCTGCCGGGATTTATCAATTCTTCGAACATCATGGTGGGGGGCTGCCGCCCCCCCAACCCCCCCGCTACTTTATAGACTTGTTACAGAGATTTAATTGCACCCCTATTCAAATCATCACTTCTGCAAACAACATCATGGGGGGGGCGGCAGCCCCCCCCAACCTTTTTTTTTTCTCGGGGATTTGGGATCAGTTCGGCACACCCCCGACAAGAAACATACACTATCAAAAGCAGCAGACGCTGGAGACCCCACAATCCCAGCCTTATTGGGACCGAAAGGCTGTCCTACGGGCTCAACGGGTGGTCAAGTTGGGAAATTGAGTTGCATGTGTTGGCCCCATTTCTGAAAGGGTGCGGATTTATTTTTGGAATTTGTTTTTCGTTTTTTTTAAGGATAATTTTCGTTTTTCGTCCGGGCCAGTAAAATGTTGTATTTTACACTAGCCCGTCAACATCCCCAGCATCGTTTTCAACATCCCCCGCATGTCCGGCCAACATCGCTAGCATCACCAACAAATCGTGTGACGGGGTCAAAGAAATGATGATTCAAGTTGGAGGGCATTTAAACTACTGACTGCTGCCTGTCCCGCAGGGGCTCAAAGTCGCCTGCGTATCAAAGAAAGGGTCTTGCCAGACCCACCGGTCGATCGGTTTTCTGGTCGCGCTGCACTGAATCTACACGGTCGCTTGCCAGCATTGCCTTGGGCTTTGGGACGGAGAAGCCGAACAGGGGGGCCCTACCACACCCCAGTCATAGGGCAAAGACCTCCAATCAATGTTTTTTCGACCTTTTGCTGAGTCCTGAGCACCCCAAAACCAATGTTCCCCCGAATCGGAGTGTTGAGGACGCCACTTCGGAACCCTAAGCTTTGCACCTTGCGTATGGACTCCCGATCCTACCACCCGGCACCCGGACCCCGACAGTTCGAGCCGTTGGCCACGATTGCATGCCCAGCAGGCCTGATTGAGCCTGCACTTTGTGTGGAGGGTAGGGTCTTTGGCAGGGGGGGGGAGTTGTACGGTCCCTGGTTTAGGGGAGTTGTTTTGGAGGTGCTTTTGGCGGTGGATCCACTGCAAGAGGGGTCTACACAATTGAATGCAGCTGTCTTTGCCATGTTTCCCAGGTCAGTTGCTGGCTGCTGTTTGACCTGCAACTTTTCGGCAATTGTTTTCTCCCCCCCAAAAGTTAAGCTGTTTGCCGCAGGGTGCAATAGCCACCAGAAGTCTCTGGTTCAGGTTTGGTCTCACTTGCCCAATACAATCCGAGCTTTTGAGCTTTTGGTTTTGCAAATGCTCAGTTTTGGTTGTTTTAGCCTGGGATCTCTTGTGATGCAGTTTTCCTTTTTAAAGGTTGACACCGGAATCACTCATTTTGTTTTCCAAGTTGAGAATCCCGATCTCTGACGGGATGTCCAAGTTTTTTTCGCTTCATCCTTAGCCAGCTGCGAGAGGTTGGGCAAAGCCGAGGAAGCGAAGCTGCCTGCGGCCGCTGAAAAAATAAAACATCCCCTCTCCCTTGAGTTCCTGCACTTTGGTCATTTTTTTGTGTTTGAACTATTCTGGTGATAAACCAATCAATAAACACATTTGGTTAGTTTCGTTGCCCAATCCACCCAGGAAGTGAGTTGTTATTTTCCGACGCATTTTCCCGAGTGAGACATGCATCTAGTGTGCCACCGAGGTTGACGACGCATGTGCAGCAACTGATTGCCACTTGCCTGCAAAGGGTCGTCTGGCTTTGGTTGCTTTGGGTGGCTTTGGTTGCTTTGGGAGGAATCACCGCCCCACATGTCAGTACCCGTTTGCCCTTTGTTTTCCTTGTTGCTTTTCCCGCATCATCGCTTCTTAGCAGGCAACAGTTAACTTTCACTCATGTGATTGAGAAGCCAGCGAAATCCCCAGGTTTTGGTTGCAATTTGTGGAGAAAGAATAGGAGGGTGTAGACCAACCTAGTTGGAAGACAACCTTTGTGGATTGATATAATTGGTTGCTGGCCCAGAAAATGCACCTGCCGGGAGCATTTCTGGCCAAAGCAGGGCAAGGCGCTTGATCGGGAGCATTTGTTAGCCCTCAGATCAAGGCCCCACCACCAACCGTGGGGTTGCCGCCTTTTTGTGCCTCAAGGCTTATTACACCTATGTCGCTGGTTCTTGACCTTGGTGACTTTTAGCTGAGGGCTACTGGAAGGGCCAAACTTGCGGTCTCACTCCCCGAGTTCCTCAAACGCTTTGGGAAGGCCATTTTTGTGGCGAACCAGTTCTTTTTACTCAGCGAGTGAGGGGTTGTAGGGTACGTTAAAAACACAATAAGTCATGACAAGAAGCTGCGCAGCGATTTTGCGCCTACAATCTGTTCCAAGATGGAAGGAGCTGGACAAGTTCAGTGTTTTTTTGGGTGGGTTTAAAGGGTCGACGTAGAGTATACCGTATACCCCTGGATGTATTAGCCACCTTAGAGAGGTGTCGTGGTCATGGGTTCAGCTTCCAAATCCGGCTCATTCCTGGGATCAAAAGGCCTTAAGAAAAGCATTGGGATCTTTTATTTGTCCTGGGGGAAGAATGACAGTGGATCTTGCTTATGCGCTCATTTTCCCGCAAGGGACTCACAAATCTTTTCTATATCCATGATGGTAACAGCATTTGTCCGCTACTCATACAAACAGCTTCTGACTCAAGTTTGAATGCCCCAAATCGGTGTGGATCTTACTTGCAATTTTCTTCGTTTAGTACCATATTGAGGCAGAAGCACAGATGCAAACGGCATTCATCAAGTTTACATTCTACAGACCCCAGACCGCCGACAAAGAAGCCCGCCGATGGGGGGTCATCATCCTGGTTCTGATACGGTGCATACATGAAGCTTCTCATAACATGTTTGTTGCTTGCTGAAGCGAAGAGCAGCATCAATAATATTCAGTGTCGCACTCAACCCTGGAATTTCGCGTGTTCATGTTTGGGAATACTTGGGAGGGCCTCGGGGTACCCCAGATTTGTGTGCTTTCTGTCCATGCCTGCGACAAGGGAGGCAGGTCCAGTAGAGAAAGAGTGGCATTCTCAAGTTGGTCCGTCACTGAGACGCCCTTCGTTTTGACATTTTCATGTTCACGACTCCTTCTCATGTGCCTTATAAGCCCAAAGCGCCTGGCGCCTTGGGGTGATGATACTTTTGGCGGACAATGAGTTGGTTGGTTTTGGGCGGTGCTTTTTTGCAGGTTTTGGAAGTCCCATACCGGGAGGGTTACGCAGGTTTTGGTTTATGTTTCCTCTTACCAGGGTTCCATTTTGGTACCGGTTTTTTGAGCCACAGCCATATGTGACTGCTTTTTATTTGGAGACATTGTCAGATAGGTGTCAATCTAGGGGTCCCCAACGATCACGGTTTCCCCAACAGAAGCCTCAGCTTGCCACGAGGACCGCTTGGCTGTAGGGGACATCAACCCAAACCCCTAGATTCAGTGGTTGAGACCCACAGGAACCAAAGCAAGGCAAAACAAAACCCGCATTCGACTCATTCCTCTTTCAGACCCCTCACAAAACCGTCCGTGTCCTTTTCGGACCCAAAGAGAAGGCTTCGGATCTCGTAGGCCTCGTAGGCCCCACGTCCCGTGGGCTTGGTCGGTCTGAGGGCTCATTCGTCCCAGTTTTGCACCTATGACTCGTGCTTCGCGGAGCAACTCGCTGGATGCATGCTTTCAGGCGCGGAGAGGGGAGCCTTTCTTTTCCGTGCGCGTGAAGGTTCATGGCGCTTTCAGGCAATTGAACAGGGGAAACCGGCCATTTTGGGATCCCCCGAAATGTTGGGGGTCTTTGAGGGGGTTGTATCCCTGAACAAATGGAAGCAGCGATTTCCAAGAGAGCCAGCCGCTACTGGATCCCTTTAGCTGCTGCAGTGTGAAAACCAGCCGCTTTGGGATCCCCTTTTAGAAAG